GCACCTTAGAGACTAACAAATTTATTAGAGCATAAGCTTTCGTGGACTACAGCCCACTTCTTCGGATGCATATAGAATGGAACATATATATCTCCTCAATATATGTTCCATTCTATATGCATCCGAAGAAGTGGGCTGTAGTCCACGAAAGCTTATGCTCTAATAAATTTGTTAGTCTCTAAGGTGCCACAAGTACTCCTGTTCTTCTTTGGGTACAGTTTTTCAACCACTCGTGCATCCACTTTATAGTAATTTAATCTAGACCATATTTCCATATGATATCTCCTAAATTATGGAAGACTGGAAGAAGGCAATACCCAAATTCTAGTCCTGGTTCTGTCATTGACTTGCTGTATGACCTTGGGCTACACTTAACCTCTTTTCTCTAAGGATGGTTTTATATTACCACATGGGAATAATTATGCAATGAGGTCATATGAAGCTATTCATCTGCTACCATCTCTCTCTCTCTCTCTCATATATATAGACACACTATTTTTTTTAATCTCCTGCACCTCACATGCCAAGGGTGTTCACCAGTTTCCACCATTTATTGTGCTGGCTGGTCAGGCTATGGAATGTCATGGTCATAGACTTAGCTTCTTTCTCTATTGTTCTACAAAATGTTTCTCTAGGTCACCTTTTTTTTCCTTTTCCCAAGTGTTGTCCATGTTATCATGTGATGTGGAAGTTGTGTTGGTGGCAACCTTAAGGTGTGTCCTAAATATGTCCTTTGCCATCTTACCACATTTGATGCTTTAGACTGGTTTACTCTCCTTAGTTTCCGATGTTGGAAGAAACTCTTTCAAATGAACTCTAAAGATCTTTGGCAGGCATTTACTTTGGAATGAGCTAATCTAGACACACATGATAATCCTACAGAAATAGCTCAAGAGACCTTCAGGGCCTGATTATTTGTTGCCCTGCAACTTCTGTAAAAGGAGTATTAAGTGGATGTAAAATGGTCCTTTTTTCGTGGTGGTTTATATTCACTTCGTATAAATGGTAAATTCAAGGGAGTGGGACTGAGTATTTACAAGAAAATAATTGTTTCATAGAGGAGGGTATGATATATAAAATATATTGCTGCATGACCTTCAATCACAAATATAAAAGGGAATAATATCTTCTGTTCTTAAAGGTGGGTAAAAGAAATACACACAATGTGAGAAACAATTCAACAGCACAATGCTACCAGAGCAACCTGCCAGGTTTCCCACATCTGCTACAACTATTAGCTTTGGAGCCTGCCAGAATATTAGTAACATTTCCAAATGTTATTGCCAGGGAAAAAAAAATAAACATACACAGCATCTGAGTCTCACAGCTGCAGGCACACCCCAGAGTGGCTAGAGGTGGTGAGAAGAAAATTGACCATCAGCTGCAGGGTTAGATTGTACAAAGTTAGTACAAAATTACACATGTCACTGTGTACTGTAAATGAATCATTATTAAAGAAGACAAACTCGTATGATTTCAGACTGAGGGCTCCAATCTAAAGCTCATTAACATCAATGGAAAGACTCCTATTAACTCAACAGACTTTGAATCAGACCTTAAATCGGAATATTCCCCTCCAGAACTGAAGACTCTGAATTATTACCTTAATAACATTTTATTGCATATACTAGAAAATATTAGACAAGAACTATGGTGCATATTATTATAACAGGAGCTGGAAGTGTCCCTAATAAAATCCATTATTAAAATTCTTCTATTATTAATTTTGTTTTGAGAAGCACACTAACATCCATAGATTCCAACAGGCCTTTGAAATATGATAGGAAGAAAGAAGTAGGGCCAGAGAAGTACCTTTACTTTGTCCCATGAAATGTTGTGAAGATTTAATGGAGTTCTAATGTGTTGAAAACCAAAATTTCTCTTCTGTTAGTAATTTTTTTTTGGCAGCAAGCCAAAATAACTGAGCATGAACATTCTAACTTAAGGCTGGACCTGTGCCATCACCAAAACAGCAGCAATAGCAGCATACTCTGCTCTGAGAATTAAGGGAGCAGAGAGCTTGGCTGTCTCGTATCACTGGGGAGGTGTAAAATAATTCCATTAATATTTATGAGGCACTCAGATATTACAATGATGAGCATCCTAGAAAAGACCATGAAGATATTGATAATTCTGCATTCAAGTCAGGGTTTGGATAATACAGTTAATAAGTTCTGGGCCAACAACTTGATTCCCTGTACTCTGTCCATCCTGTGTTGCACTAAATGAGACAGGAGTCTTGTGGGAAAGTAGTAATTAAAGGCTGTAACAAAATATATATTCACAAGAGGACCAAAGTAAGATCTTACTAAATTTGGAGTGATTTTGCAACCTAAACTATACTCTTCTAACATAAGTTTTTGTTGTTGTTGGGGTTTTTTGTATTTTTTTGTTTTTGTGTGGGGCAGGGGGACTTGTATGTTATTTAAAATAAAATAACTTATGGAATGTACATCTAGTTAATATTTTAAAGTGAAACAGCACTTATAACTGATATATTAAATACATCTTTACATAAATTCCAAGCAAAATAGGCTTTTCACACACTTTGTTGCAAATCATGATGAGTTTTCTAAAACTATGTAGAAGAATAACATGATGGGAATTCAAAACTGTCCAAAACAGAATGGGGGGGAAAAATCACAAAAACATTTCACCACTGTTATACAGCTTTGGTAACAAAAAATATACTGTATTTGGCCAAAAGTTAGACATTAGGGGTGTATAACTACATGTATCAGTACCAAGCCCCACACACACACACACACACACACACAGAGTTCACTCCATTCCTGAAATACAACTACCACAAGCATGGACAGAGGCAGCCGGACAACAGTGTTGAGAAGACTTGATGCAGACACAATGGCAAAATGTGAACAGATAAATGCATGGAATTAAGCAGTAGGCCACAAATTTTATTAAACATTAGCAGAGGGGAGGGGCACCATCTGCCCATCACCCATAGTCTCCTATAACAAGAATTTACTTGGTTCTAGTGAGGGGGTTTCAGGGCTCATACCATATAACCTGTAACTTAGGGTAGGATCTCCTCAGTCTATCCCCAGGACTTACCTCCCTTCCTCCCCACATCCCTCGGCCCGCGCTGCTTCCCGCCACCCCCATTGGCCTGTAGCGGCGAACCGCGGCCAGTGGGAGCTGCGATCGGCCGAACCTGCGGATGCGGCAGGTGAACAAACCAGCCCGGCCCACCAGGGTGCTTACCCTGGCAGGCCGTGTGCCAAAGATTGCCGATCCCTAGTCTAAGTATTTCTAATTTGAGGCTTAGCTTAATAAGCTATCACTCCTGGGCAATAGGGTAATTAATTTGTTCAATCTTTAATTTCCATGATTACTTAAACATTGTTTTTATGTAAACGCAAACTGCCTAAGTTGGTGCTCCCAAATTTTTTAATGTAACTAAAAAATAATCGTGTGAGATCACTCAAATGTTATTGAGGTCAATGGAAAGACTCCATTTTTTTCAATGGGTTTTGTTTCAGGCCCTTACTGTTGTTCCTCACCCCACTCAGCTGATCTTTTCCATTCTTATAGGGCTCTATGAAGGAAACACCCAAGTCATCTTCATCGGAGACATGTGATGAGGATTCTTGACAATTTCACATTCTGCCTGATCACAGGAAGTAAAAGGGCCTATGCTTTTGTAGACATTTTTCTAATATTCTAAATTATAGTGTTTTCTACTTTATAATAAAGCAAACAATCTGCAATTACTAATACTACAAGAGATCTAGTCCTCATATGTCCCAGCCTCTTAAAATTGACTAAATGTGTTTTCAAATGGCTCTGCTTCCCTCTTGGGTGCTGTCTTTGCACCTCATTGTATTCTGTATTTTCAGACCAGTCCATTGAGGGGCTCGTCGTAGACCAACGCAAAGGGAAAAGTGCAACATTTCTCAAAATCTGCTGCTTTCTGTGACTGCACAGGAAACTGAGCAAAAAGAAATATTACCTTTTGTAGGTGGTAATGATGCAGTTTCTTTTAGCTTTCAGATTGTTATTGTGACCTTCATTATCCTCTTTATTTCCCCAGAGGTTGTGGCTGCTTGGAAAGGCAACATTTTTAAACTCAGAGTGGTATTTTTTTTTACTGTACTACACAATGTAAAGTTCCAGAAGCCACAGGGGTGCCAATGTCAATATTTTTTCATAATTATGAATTTGAGATCAAGTTCAGATTCCTTTCCCTTCCTTTCTGTTTCAGTTTTTGATTCTGTGGCTTAGAGAGTTCTCAGAGGATAACATTTTCTCACAAATGTGCTCTATCTAGAAAGGCATATTGCATGTGTGACACTGACAGACCAGCTCTGTGACCCTGAGAAGCCAGCTCAGGTCAGAGTCTCGGAACAATTAACTTGTATCTGAGTCTCAAAGAGGTGTTAAGTGTATCAATTCACTTGTATGTTAGAATAGTTCAAAGGAATGTAATGGTTTTGATTTGCCTATCTTTCTGTGATTGCTATCCTTTGACTTAGGGTTATGACAAAAGTATGTATTAATGCTAAGATGAGGAGGTGTCTGATGTGTAAACTTCATGGAAACTAATAAAGGATTCAAGTATCAGAGGGGTAGCCGTGTTAGTCTTAAAGGTGCCACAGGACCCTCTGTTGCTTTTTACAGATTCAGACTAACAGAAGTATTGGGAGCGTAAGCTTTCGTGGGTAAGAACCTCACTTCTTCAGATGCCATCTGAA